ATTTACACGTGTAGCCTTGCCCCCGTTAGTTTGTCGTGGCGCTGCAGCAGGGCGCATGCTCCCAACCGCGGTGAAACGGACATGATAATAATAATAATAATACACCCAATGCGTATATTATAACACGGCGGGACACTCGGAAAATATTGAAGTGTTGTTTGATGGGTCACTTAACGCGTCCGGGCTATGACCGTGATATAGGTGTGCGTACATAGTATAAAAGCCCACACGGATAGTATTGTATCGACCGACCGTGATTTGTGCGCCCATACATCATCGCGGCGTTCGCCCGCTCTCACTGCATTCGCGTCCGCCGAGAGTACCTCCGGGACATACGGGTTGTCCCACTGTAATATTTCCATTCGGACACACCAGTGGTTCCCAACCTCTGTTATTTTACGCCCCGCTTGTTGCTTTTTTTTAAAATCTCTCGCCCCCCCCCGCCTCCCATTCCCCCATTAACCTTTTAACAAAGATGATAAGCGAACTCATCAAAAACGTCAACTGCCCCCTGTCGCTTCCACCTAAATTGGCCCTGCTCGTAATCTTTATCGATACCAAATCCCCGGTGGTCGTTATAAACTTGTATTTTTTTCCCTTTATTGTAAAATTCAAATTTTACTTCGTGCCGACTGCTCGCGCCTCCCCAGCATTGTGTACACGTCTCCCTGAGGGGACGCGCTCTCCCTGTTGGGAAACACTGGGGATGCACGAACGCGCTCGGCTCGCTATAAAATGTTACGCACATGTACGTACGTAAGTGCCCGGCCAATTAAAATTATTAACGCGACCGTCGTATACTGCTGCAGTAAAAACAATACACGCGCGCACGATAGCGTACATTATTAACGTCTATTATTTCATGATTTACATTGAACAGTCAAATTTACAATGTACGTGTTTTGTTCAATAAACGACTTTTGAGTTAAGACGGGGGGAGCGAGTGCCGCCGTACAAACGATGCACCGTTATACAACACTCCTCATCCCCTTACACAAACTTAAAAGTGTAATATCTCGTCAACCGCGGAATGCGGATTGACAGAAATCCACAATTTCAACACTTACAAAGAAAAAAAAAAAAATAATACTCAAATTAATAATCCGTCTATTTATGGAACGTTTAAAATAGGTATTTATAGGTAGTTGTTTTAAAATCATAAACGGATAACCGTTTCAACCACGAAAATAAGGGTGACAGAAATAAGGATTATGTAATATTTTAAAATATACATAATTCCAAAAACGATGTTTTATACCAGTCGTTTTTTGAAAAATAAGTATTTCGTGGAAAATTTTACATTAACACGAAATAATTTGGTATACACTGCGAATGTGCCCCTTCCATCCCCGTCCAGATTTTACACGATTTTATTTTATTTATTTACTATTCCGACCAGCACAGCGAAATCACAATGGCCATTTTCTCGAAATCGTCACGTATATAATATTAATAATCATAACAATATAATATAATATGATATTATATCCGATATCAATATCCTTCTTACAGCTATATAATATCATACGAAGAGTCACAACACATTATATTACTTACTATAATATTATACTGGCTGTCCGGCACGGTGACAAATTAAATGTCACTTCCAGCTACCCACCCCGTAATTCCCTCTAACTCCTCCTTTTCACCCAAACTTTTTTCTAACCGTCAATAATATCGCGTTGACTTGCATACGTCCCATCTTAGTTCCTACTACATAACCGAAAAAAAAAAGTGTCCTATAACCTCCAACAAGTGACAATAAGCAATTGAACAAAAACAAGGTTCATCAAAATCGGTCGAGTATAGTTCTCGAGACTTTTGCTGGCATACAAACAATCGTGTTCATATAAAATAATAATTATGACATTATAATATAAAAAGTTGTGATCAAATACTATAGATGGGAATTGAGGTTGGACTAGGCCACCAAAAATCTCCCGGTAGTCTGCGAAAAAAATTTAACGAGTATATTATTTTTATCTATAGTAATAAAGTTGCTATAATCATCTACAACTTTATTGTGCTTTAACTTTATTTTTAGATGTATGTATATATTTTCTTAGATACCTATATATTACAAAATATTAAATACATATTGGTTTATATAGTGTTTGGAAATGTCTCCACCTGTATTGATCACCTGTGATAAAATGGATTATGTCAAATTTTAAAATTCACCATCGAACAAAAAAATTTCCAAATTGATTAGATTCAAATACAAAAAAAATAATTTTAAAATCTTATCGATACAATTATTAATTTAACTAAAGACAATTAAAAAAAGAATGCATACACACAATTCAACCACTTTTTGAAGTATTTAAACAGCCATTAACTATTTCAAATCTATCTCTACAAAACTTACAAGATTCATTTTTGCTATTTCCTCCAGAAAGTATTGGATCAAAAATATCTGACTTTGATGCGGTTCAATCAGAATGTAAAGTGCTTTCTAGAATGTGCAATAAAAGAAATTTTAATTCAATCGAATTTCTAAATTTCTAATTACACGGAAATCCGAATCAGTTAAAAATATTTTACCATTGTCAAATATACTTTGTCATTTGGCTTAGAATGCAACAGTTACAGTAGCATTGAACGAAAGGACATTCAGCAGACTAAAATGAATTAAAAATGATTTAAAGTCTACTACACGTGAGGAACGATTAAATTCACTAATGATTATAAATACAAAAAAAAAAAAAACCTCAGACAATTTAAACCTTTCACGTATTTCAAAGCGATGGGCAACGTTGAAACAATGTAGAATTAAAATATAATTTGTTTTGAATTATTTAATAGTTTGTTACCTACACAAATTTGTATTATTATTATTATTGTTATTATTAAACGAATTACCAGCAAAAAGTGTCTCTTAACCACTTTATCATGTGTTTATCTAAATAAATATTTAGCATATCAAATAGGTACTGTTTTGATACCTACATCTATAATAGTATTGTAAAATTTAAGGGGCAACATTTAAGCAACTTTTCATTTCGTCCTAGACGGCCGGGTATTATATGTGTTAGTCAAATTGATTATTAGTGCGATACTCAGTGTGTGGTATATATTTTGTACAAACATTTTCAGACGACATTCTTTCAGTTAGACAATAATATTATAGTCGGAATTTTTAATAATGTTCACCCCCCTTGGTTTTCATCTTCCGGACGGCCATGCGTGTGTGCAACAAGTGGGAGAGCAACGTTTTTGCTTTTTTTCTTCCATTATTATAAATTATAATATTGTGACGTGCGGACGGATTGACGGAGGCCGCGAAATCGCAAACGCGCTGCGAGAACGATTATTATTAAATTACAAAATTAAAAAAAAAAAAGTGTTTGTCTTTGATGGTTATTAAATTACAGCCGCCACCGTTTTGTCCCCGAATAATTCTACTAGCTTTTTCAATATTTTTATTGTGAAGTTTTATTTATATCTATATATAAGTATTGTGACAACGAGACACCCCTCCCCACTCTTCCCCGTCCTGAAGGATTTATCAAAGCACACGTAAAATATAATTTTTCGATTTTTCGATTTCTACCCGACCTGTGTTTGAAACGTACGCTGCTTATTACACGCGTACACGAAATTCGCGTTTAAATTTAGAATGCTACAAAAAAGCTACTTCATCATTTTTTGACTGGAGCAAAATTTCTAGTGAAAAATCAAAATCGAAAATAATGAAACTTAATGATCACGTAATTATAAAACACGGAATTCACGCGAGTGCGATCACGCAATTCAAGTGTCACGTGAAATACGTGATTATGCAATATAAATATCCGTGTACCAGTGACACGTATACACGTGTGCAATAAAACACGTATTTTATTAAGACCTTTTAGTACACAATCACAAATATAAATATAGGCAGGTAGCCGTGAAGTGTGAAATCGTCTCAACATATTTGCAGTAGTCGAACTGCAAAATAATGGCCGACCCTAACCCTGCAAAAAATCGTATTACTCGTAATAATCGCAAAACTGTTCAACAAATCGTACACGGAACCGATCGTTATTATATTATACTCTGTACGCGAAACTCGCAAATTTACAATGACGACTGTGTTTTGACGGGTCTTTTCACGCGTATAGGTAAGAAGTATATAATTTATAAATTTCACATCGCCGTCTCGATTTTCTTCTTTTTATTCGCAAAGTCGGTCGACAATGACTCTTTATTTTACATTTTTATACACTATATAATTATTTATTATGTGGCGTATAGCTTTTATATATTTATACCTATACAATAGTAAATACAGTAAAATTAATAATAACTATCTATACGTAAAAGTCTACGCGGTTGTAAATAAAAAAAAAAAATCGTTAGACATAATTATAAAATAATATTATTCACTTGTCGTTATCAAAATGAATGACTTATTCAGTAATGATTGTTCAATTTCTTTTTTGCCCGAAGAAATAAATTGGACATTGTATGACAATATTATTTTAACGAAACTATTTAATATCTTCGAGGCAATGACTGGATGTGTAAAACCAGGCACCTATATTCAAAGTCGGACATCTTTAATACTTTTTAAAGCATTTTATGTCACACTGATTATAATACTTGCCATTTTACCTATAATTTTCTTTTGGTAATGTCTATATAATATATCAATAATAATAAGAGCAGATTCAGGTGTTAAACAAATAAAGATTTGTTTAGTACAATCATTGATGGTCAATTAAGCCAAGCTCAGAGTTGAGATTTTATTTATATTAGCAGTAAAATTAGCATAAATTTTTTAAATTTATGTTATTTATTTCATATGACAGAAGTAGAATATTTGAAATTAATAGATTTCCCCTTCTTTTGCAGGCATTCATTGTGTTGCTCATTTACTTCAATTAGCTAAATTTTGTGATTTTTGAAAAAATCAACTAGGGGGGGGTGTGCTATACCTTCCCGTGGTCCCCCCTGTCTAGTAGTGCTGTTAATACCTGTAAATCTGAATGCCTATGCCTTAGGATATCACAAGTATGACAACACGAAGCCAAACAACACAAACCAAGCGGCCGAACGTTGAAACGACACCGTTGGTACCTGCATTGGCAACCTAACCATCTTTAACTCCCACAATACTGAGTGGGGATACTCCGTCGATAATGAAGAAGGCGAAAGACTTTCGGACTGGGCAGCAATTAACCATCTTAAACTGATCTACGATGCCAAACAAGGGGGCACTTTTAAATCTGGTAGATGGGGTACGACGAAATCGCCGGATCTCTGTTTTGTGTCAGAGAACCCTAATGGCCTACCACTAACCGTAAATAGAGAAATCAAAAACCCTTTTCCAAGAAATCAGCACTTGCCAATCACCGTAACTATCGATCTTATAATCCCAACCATAGACAAACACATTATGCCTCGTTGGAACCTGCGTAAAGCAGCATGGCCAGAATATTCAAAATACATTGATGATGATATAAACCGGATTGAACCTATACCGCACAACTATGGCAGATTCATTAACCTTATAAAGACAGCTACGAAAAAATCGATATCAAGAGGCCACAGACATACAAGTAATTATACTCCTTGCTGAACTAAGGAATGCGAATAATTACTAAAAGAATATGAAAGGGATGGAAAGGAAATAAATGCCGACAAACTCATCGCCTACTTGATGAGGAACGTCCTTAACCCACATAAAACCACATCCACGGTGTTCCATTTGAACAACAGAGATGCTAACAGAAAACTTAACCTGATAGTTCAGGGAACCAAACTAATGAATGACGACGCTCCAAAATATCTAGGGATCAAGTTGGACAGAACATTAACCTACAACCAACATCTTGAAGATGTAAAGAATAAATTGAAAACCAGGAATAATATTATTAGCAAACTAGCGGGAACAAGTTAGGGCTGCCGAGCAAATGTACTCCGTATATCAACCCTGGCCTAGGTATACAGCGTCGTGGAGTATTGCGCCCCCGTCTGGGAGAGAAGCGTACACGCAAAAAAGGTTGACACTCAGCTGAATAATACTATGCGAATTATTACAGGCTGTGTCCGGGATACCAACTTACAGTGGCTTCCTGTCCTTTCGAGTATAGCCCCCCCCCCCGCGGCTCGAAGACATCTCACAACCGTTAAATTGTTACAAAAAATCAATACATCAGTGAGTCTCCCTGTATACAACGTCATAAATAACGCAACCACTAAAAGATTAAGATCAAGGCACCCAATCTGGTCAGTAGAAAATAGCTCTGACAAAATGGAGGATATGTGGAAACAATGCTGGGAAGAAGGTAACGTGGAAAACAGACACCTGATCCTATCCAAAGAGTCCCAGGTTTTGACTCTCCAAGAGCCATATGGACCAACTTAAACAGGATACGAACGCAGCAGGATAATTGTAACTATCTCCTACATAAATGGAAAATAAAAAACTGTCCCCTTTGTGACTGCGGACAAATACGAACCATCCGACATATTGTGGAGGAATGTCCTCAAACGAGATACAAGGGGGGAATTGAGGGACTTCACAAGGGCGATGACGAAGCAATGGGTTGGTTGTCGAAAACTTACATTCGCCTTTAAATATATTATGAGCTTCTTTATTATTATTTTTTTTTAGTATATTATAAATCTATTTGCCCTTGTTCTCGTTATTTTGTTAATTTAATATTAATTTAGTTTTGTTTTCCACCAATAAACCTACGCCATATGAAAAAAAAAAAAAAAAAAAATTAAATCATAATCAATGGATGGATGTTTCATAACATGATTGAAAACTATTATTATATTTTTTTATTATTATTATTATTATTATTATAATAATTATAAGAATGAATTGATGAGTCGGCAGTGGTAAGTATCCAACAACCATTATCTAATCGAAAACAGAAAGAATAATGTATCCTTTTCAAAGATTTTTTGTCCTACATAGTACAGGGTGATTCACGGTTACTTCCTGTTTTGAAACTCGCGCCACAAAGCGACTCTTACGCCTAAAGCGCGTTCGAAAGCACGCGATCTAAATTTTTTTCGAGAAATTAGTTTAGTATCAATCATGCAGTGGACAAACGAGAAGCACGCGTTCGCTGTCGAGGCCTGCTTTTCCTTCAGTTCTTCGATCATCAAATTCAATTCGATTCAACTTAGCGTGTATTCAGAAAACGATTTAATATTGCGCCTGCAGGTCATGTGCCTGATCGAAAATCAATTTGTTTGTGGATAGACACATTCAGGAATATTGGTAATGTGAAAAAAAAAATATAATAGACCTTCCATAACTATCAGGACACATGAAAAAATCGATAGGGTAACGGGTGCTCTTTTAAAATCTCCTAGGCGATTTGTACGCAAACATTCGGCTGCTTTAGGAATTTCTAACTCCATAGTGAGACGAGTTTTTCGTGAAAAAATGCATTTGAAAATACTCGAAAACCTGCCTAAGGACGCCATTATTTTCTTTAGTGACTAGGCACATTTCTATTTGTCAGGATGTGTGAATAAACAAAACATACGATATTGGAGCACCACAAATCCGAGAGAACTTCATGGGCAACTCCTGCATACAGAATGTATGATTGTTTGGTGTGCAATATCCAGAATCAGCATCATTGGCCCATGGTTTTTGAAGAGAATCAAAGTGCAGTTACGGTCAATCCCCAGTGAATCACCATGTACATAGTGTCATATACTTTTAGATACATATTAATCAATATTATTGTATGATACTATAAAATAATATGATTTATGAGCAGAACTAATATTAGGTATAATAAATTATAGGTTGGTACTAAGTAAAAAAAGAATTACTCATACCACATCACAGAATAGATACTGTGCTCATAGTTACCTATTTCCATACATCAATTCATAGTTTAAAATCAGAAAAAGATTTCATAATAACAAAATAATAATAATAATCATAAAATAAATAATAATAATAAAATAATAATAATAATAATAATAATAATAAAATAATAAAATAAAATTCAATAATTTTAATAATTGTAGATTGTATTAACACTCAAAAATTATTTTAATATTATGACACAGTAAAAAATATTTAAATTGATTTTTAACCCTTTGATATTATAAATAATTATATATTTGTATGGAGGTATTATACAATTTGTTAACTTATAAATAATTATTTTGTTATTTATTTTTTTATCTTATTAAAATTATGTTCTATATGACTAGATATTTTTTAATATATAAATGGTATTTAATAATAAAATACAATTTAAAATTTAGATTTATATTATTTAAATAGGAATGGTAAAAATTATTATGCACTATGTGCCAAACATAAGACTTGCTATCAAATATATATTTTAATAATTTTAAAAAATAAGTAAGATTTTTTCTGTAAAAAATAATAAACAATGAATAGATTTTAGTCATAAATCAAACTGTACTATTTGAGAGCATTAAATTACTGTTTAATTTAATGCTAACTTAATTTAATATAACATATATACGTTCTATAAATTATAGTTCGCCACACCCCTTGACGAAAACTTTTGAGATAAAAATGTTTTACGATATGACTATGATTTTGTTTTATGGTTTAATAAATTACATTAATTATAAAAATATACATTTTTGGTTTAATAGAATTGTGATTCCTTAATTTTTCAGGAGTGAGAATTACCTTGATTTTTTAAATTATGAAAGTAATAATACAAGAATAGGTAACTTGATGGATGATTCGTCTGATTTTGTCCAAGTGAACATTAAAATGTTAAAATTCCTTATATCTAAACAAACAATAAATCATAAACAGGTAATAAAAATAAAAAAATCAATTTTATATATATATTTAAACATATTTTAATTTTATTAAAAAAATATATAAATTTGGCACTAAGCAAAAGATATAAAAATATTAAAATTGGAATGTAATTGTTTATAAACATTTTATAATTCAATATCAAGATTTATGATTGAATCAAGTAGCATTGAATGTAAAAGCATTCCTCACCGATTATCTACGGATTTATCCACTTTGAAGAATGACAAGGTACCCATAATTAAAGTGATCACTAACAATGTTAATTGCACATACATTCCAAAATGATTGCTATAGAAAAAACTTATAGCAGCTGCAATAGACTAAAACAAAATACAATTCAATATAATACATATAAATTGTATTATGCATATAATATAATATCAATTTATCATATAAACATTTCAATTAATCTTCATAAAAACCTGTATTTATTTAAATGCAAAACGCACAAAAAAATACATAAATGTTAACGCTGAGACTATAAATCATAACAATTGTGTAAGTAATGTAAATTTTTTTTTTCTATCAATTACACTTTTGTGCAGTGGACAATCTATACTCCTTAGGAGTTGTTAGGGTGTTCAAAATCTAAACAATATCAAAATTACAACAGTTAAAATCTTGATAAATCACCAAATTTATTTTGCACTATTTATGCACGCATTTACATTATATCGGAACAGAAGATTCTCTCAAACTCTATCTGAGAATACAGGTTGTCACTAGACAAAATTTTGATGACTTTCTTATCAGTATATTTAAATCTTGTTGTACAGTAAATGATTCATATCAGATATCTGAACAAAGTTATGCTAGCTATAAATTCAATATTAAAATTCTTTGTTGAAAAGATGGCATTTTTATGTATGATAAGATATCAATTTTTAACAATTATAAGAATTATGATCACAAAAATGGTTTGAAACTACCTTAACAAATGAATAACAATTTAGTATTTGTTTAATATTTTGAATGATATAATAGTAATTTGGTAAGTGATTCGATTAAACATATTAATTGTTTTTCTGAAGAGAAGGCAAAATTCAAATAAATTGTACATTGAACACTTTGAATACACACATAACATAAAACAGTTAATGGTGTTAAAAGGAAGTAAATAGATATTCATAAACCTTAACTATTAAACACAAAATACATACCTGCATAAATTTAAACAAGGCCATTGCCGGAGCACTGTTTTCAGAATATCTTTGACCAATTACATTGTAGATTTGAGTATTGAAACAACTATCACCAAAACCCAGAAGAAAACTGCATAAAATTGCTAGGTACTGACTAGATCATTATTCAAATACAAGTTATAGTAATTAATAATTATCCATAATATTGTAATTAATACAAATTACTTTGGTTCAATTAATGATTTTGCTGTGGTATCACCGAATGGTGAATCATCTGGTAGATTTATAAATATCAGACCATAGGCAACAATGTTTATAACAAAACCTAATGCAACCACTGCAGAATGACTGAATCCTTTAGATTCAACATTATTTTCTGAAGTCTTTTTTCCCAAAATGCTGAATAGAAAACCTCCTGCAAATAATTTTAACATATTAAATATTTAAAATTACAATTTTTGAGAAATAATAATTAAATAACTATTGTTTAATATTTTAACCTAAAATTTCACCAACACCAATTAAAATTCCAGATAAACCCACGAGTTGTTTGCTATTAGGGCCCATTGTTGTGGTGAATCCAATACTTGAACTGTAAACACCACTATAAAATGATAAATGTAAACCTAAAAACAAAATTCAAAACATTTAATTAGTCAGAAAGTTCTCAAACTACTTTTTTTTAAATGCACCATTTACCTGTAAAAAAGAATGACATATTTAATAAACACATGTCTTCAGTTAAAAAAAGTGACAAAGAATTTTTTATTTCCTGGATAGGATTTAAAGTTTCTCCTCTTTCATTGTCAGTTCCTTCTGCGCTTATAGGAGATCGTAAAAGTAAGAACAGTAATGTACCCAAGAAACATACAGCTATAAGAACAGTGAAAACCAATGTTCTTGTTGATTCGTCCAAATGATTTTTATCGTGAAGTGCAAAAAATACAAATGTGTTTCCTAAAAACATACTTTAATCACAAATAAATATTGTGCATGTATTCAAATGTTTTTAATTTATACTACATAATAACTACCTCATTTGTAACAACGCCCAAAATATTCCAGAATTTCTGGACATAGTGGATGAATCAGAATTCAATGTTAAATATGCTCCTTGACCAGTCCAAATGAGCGAAGCACCAAACCCTATCACCGCAGACATAAAATAAAGTAAAAATGTGGCTGGCCAGAGAAATGATACTAAAAACATACTAATTCAAAACCTGAGATTAATATAAGTAAATTATGTGATACAATAATATTGTATGTGTATAAATACGGACGTGTAACAGCATGACCCTATAAACATGGCTATTCTAGATCCTGCAAAACTAACAACTGTTGGAGATATCCAATTGCATAATGCAAACACAACATATATAATGGACAAACTAGTGTATCCATCACCAGTAAATGACGGATAATCATTTTGTATGCTTTTCAGTATAGTTTTCTAAAAAAAAAAAAAAAAATTAATAAATACCAAATAATATTTGATTAAAATGAATTAAATAAAATTAAAATAATTATTCAAAAATATATTATAAGTAATATTATCTATCTGAAATTGGTATAAATCAGGTTTTGAAATCAAAATAATTTGTCCCTGCGTAATTTTTTAAAATTTTAACTATGAACAATTAAATATTATTTTCTATGGTATTAGTGTGAAAGCTACTTAACTATAAATTATTTCTTTAAAATGTTCTGAATTTCCCAAATATATTATATTTTAACAAGATATTAATAATAATACAAATTATTTACTTCAATATTTCCCATTGTTTGAAATGCAGTGAAAACAAACATGAAGGATAAGCCAAGAAGGCTAACATTTAATAACCGTTTATCCATTCTTTGTATAATATATTAACCAATTTGTTATTTTCTGCACCTGTAAATAATAATGTTAATTAATACATATTAAAGAAACATAATACAATAAGTTAAAACATATTTTCTACTGCTAAATTTTCAATTATGCTTATTCAATGTTGAATTATTTGTAAAGATTATTTTGACACATAATTTTTTAAACTATTAAACCAATGTATATATCAAGTACCTTATTTTATAAATAGAACATACCTATTTATATTTAATGATAATCCATAATCAAATTGTTACCTAAATAATAGAGGTATACACACATTTTTGGAACTATAACGAATATATTAATGAAGTTATCTATACAAATAAAAATAATAATGTTCTCTTTTTAAATAATAATATATATGTTTTAACATTTCCATTTTAAATACATAGATTCTTGAAAAAAAAAACTAGACAATAATGCAAGATTGATAATAAAACAATTATTAAATTTTATGTTATCATTATATTTTTCTAGGAATAATTGGCATATGCTTTACTAAATTCATTTAATTAGTTTAAAAAATATTAACATAATAATTTGATTCCTAACTATTTCAACAGATACGCTTATTTACATGCACATTAAATTATATATCTACTGTTTTAAAGATGACAGACAACTGACAATAATTAATAACCAACAATTTATAGATCTAAAGAGATAAAGATAATAATAATGGTAATCGGTCAAAATATCCAAATTTAAAAATGTATAAAACCATTTTTATGAATAAACACAAATATTTTGAAATGTTGATTTAGGTAATCAAATAATATAAAATAAAATTTAAGATATAATGTTAAATAATTCAATAATACTTTATTTTCTAATAAAATTAGTTTAATCTAGATATGATGTTTTATTTATTAATAATTTAATATTAATAGTAAAATAAATTACTTTTATAGAAATAATATTACAAAATAAAACATTCACAAAATCAGTTGTTGTAGTCAAAAAATATAAAATAAAATGTAAAATAATTCAATGACGTAAATTAGTGAACTAGGGACACTATTCTAAAAATTCAGAAAAACGTTTTTATAGAATTTTAAATTTTGATATTTTAACCTAAGTTCAAAGATAATATCTATTATTTCTGCAACAATATTTTTGGTTTATTATCAAATATCCATTAAACTATGCAAGTGTCAAAATTCATTCATTAATAAATGTATTCTTTTAGGATTAAACAAGTTAATTAGTGGTGAATAATTAACTTATATATATTATTAAATAACGTTCTCACTTGCGATTGCATTCGCTCCCCCGATTTAGTACACAAAATATAAAGAATTAACATGTTACTTGTTACTTACAATACTATTCAACTAAAAATTGATTTGCATACAATTAAGTTATAATAATATATAAGGTCACCTTGATTTTGTTGCTCTTGTTATTCAATAGATAAATTGTACGTAGTCAATAAAATAAATGATACCATGAACATTAGAATGGATTATATATAGTAGATTGAATGTTCATGAATAAAAGATTGCTGACGGCAACAGCATTTTCTTACAATTGTATACCTATAAGAAAAAATTAAATAAATTCAAATTCAAATAACTCCAAATGAATATATTAAACTGTTTACCTACCACCTGAAGCCTACAATTCAAAATGTTCACTACTGGCACTACCGTTACTGATCAGGAAACATTAAAAATCTAAACGGACCAAAAAAATAATAAAATCAAACTAACTCAACAACGAAATAGAAAGTGAAACGGTATATGTTGTAGTACTCATAGTACGTATAAAGTACTTACTGGTTATCATATTTAAATAATTAAAAAAAAAAAATGAACTAACCCACGGCCATGTCTCACGTGAACGTACGTGACACGTTAATCCGTATACTGTGGCGAATCCGCCTCAAACAGTGATAAGGAAAATCACGGGTTCCCAATACATTTTGACAGAGACCAGACCACATATCATAATTCATGGGTATTGTCTTAAATCGTGACAGAGATAGATAGAAGTAGACCCGAGGACAATTTTTATGGCGGAAATTTTCCAATTTTCCGGAAACCCAGTTCAATTATTATGCAGAGTATCTCTAAAATCAAAATAATAAATATAGACGTGTTTCCGAATTGAAAATAAAAAACCCGTTGTAAATTAATACGTACACTTTAATAATACCTAATAAAAAACTTTATGGTTTTTTATTGCTTAACATATTGCTCTACATCATATAAGTCAACAAGTCTTGTTCACTAATTCACTACTATTCAGGTTAGGTTTTTACTACTGGCATTCAACAATAAAATTTTTTAATATGAAACGATGTTTTTGGAGTTAAATTAATAATTTTGATAAAATATAACTGTTATGAAATTCTAATTTATGATATGGTACTAGCGAATTGAGAAAAAAAAGCCCCTGACCAAACACCATAATATGATAAAAATTTCTCGTAAATTCAAACCTACTTTTTAATAAGTATTAAAAAAAAAAAAAAAGGTTTCTTAGGATAATTAGAACGGTTGCAATTATTCTTATGGATAATTTAATGTAAGTATACCTGTAAGCAACGATAATCCATTGCTAACGAAAAACCGATTCTGAGCGGAGTTCAGTTAATAGTGATGCTTTGTCAACAATATATACGTCATATTATGGAAAAATAATTAAATAAACATTATATATTTTCTTCAATACTATTTGTTTAATGTACCGATTTCCCTACGGTTTTCCCATGTTTTTTTTCAGGTTGTTCACATTTGCTGAGAAAACTCATTGAAAAATCGAAAAATGACCTCCCTAAACCATTCCTGTCAGATTTCCTTTCAGAAAAGATTCTACATTTATAAATCGGAGCAAGATCTCTGGTATAAAAGGTGTCTACAGAAAAAAAAACCCAAAAAATAGACACCTTTGAAAAACCATGCGCTTCTTCGCTCCATTCAGAATCTAAAAACATAAATATTTATTTTACTTATTATAAAACACAGGCAATTTAAAAATAGTTGTAAATAAGATTTTCATATGTTATCAGTGTTATCATTATTCACAAAAAAAAAAACATAAATTAATTTAAAAAAATATAATTTAGGTAGATATCAATTGTTGCATTCGAAAAATAACTATAAAATATTTACAATTTACTACTTGAAAACCCTTAATACGCATAGGCGTGACTAGGTGGGACATCCAAGGGGGCTGAAGGCCCCTCCAATTTCTTCTAAAGCCCTTCAAACTAATTTAATGAGAAATAATATGATTTGGCAAAAGAAAAATAACAATCATTATCAGACAAATAATAATTGTACTCATTATTTTAATGGAATATGTTTACATAAGAAAGCTTATATTGTTGAATATAAATATAACACGACGAAAATGTCATACGACTATGAGTTTAAATTCAATTATTTTTGTAATATTGGTACATTAATATACTATTATAAGACCGTGATATATTTAATGATTTTCAACGACTTCATTTAGATTTTATTGCCTATTGTTAATATAGGGCACGTGTAGTGCAATACCCACATTATATAACATGTTTATTATTCTTATTTTGTTCGTACGTTTATATTTGTATGACTTTTTGAGTAGGTAATTACTGGACTATTATAACATTAATAGTTAACATCTAAAATGATTGTTATAGCTTTACAATATTCAATGTTTATTCATTCTTGTCGCCACCTTTATTGATGTTCGCGGCGCCTTTGACTCCGTTAACATCCCTCTTTTTAATCTCCCACTTATACGCCCTAAATCTCCCACCCTCCTTCACTAATTTTATTTTTCGACTTTTCCCTCACAGAATCTTACATTTTCTCTCCCTTTTTGGCACTATCAATATACGTTCCACAAGGCAGCTGTTTGAGCCCAATTCTCTTTAACATCTACATGTGCTTTAAAGCCAATCGTCTTAATTTTCTGGGTCACAGCTGTCTTGTGCATGAATGACAGTTATTTACTCACATAATAGACAAATCAACTCTGCAATTGCCTCTCTTAACGATGCGTTATGTTCATTACACAATGTTCTATCTTTCTCCTTCTTCTCAACAGCTCCTGAAAAATATAAATCCCTAATTTTCTCCAGACGACGCTACCTTCAGTGTGATGTCAAACGTCTCAAACCAGTCTTAACATGGTCCCTAAACTTCTATGGTCCCTCCATCTCCACGACTTAATTTTCTTATATCGGTAGCCAATGCATGGTAGGTATTCCACGCTTCTACCTTAATTCTTAATTACAAATCTGGGTTAGGTCTAGTATGCGACAAGACAGATTTAAAAATATGTCAATAGGTATTACATATTGAAAGAGACATTTCAAATTTAATTTAAATAAATATCAAACATTTTTTAACAAATTTAATAGAATTAAAATTTCAATAATGTATTAGTACTGTAATATATAATTATATAAATATGTGTATAATTATAACTTAATATTTATATATTTTGAATTTTAACAATAATATAAATTAAAAATCGACTAATATGTAATTACTTGTATTTTACATAACGATATTCAAAAAGGCTAGGTACTTAAGAAAAGTTGTTAGGACTCTTCTACCTTCCCCCTAACCTAATGTTCTAGTTATGCCTAAGTAATATGTATATTTCTACAGGGCATCTATTAATATGTACAACATATGTATTGGATATAAATATATAAAACTTAACAATTACTGTAGAATTTTTAAGTAAGTTTTCACAGTAAGTTATAACACTGATAAGTGATAACATATGAAAATCATGCTTTTAAAAAAATTATTTTTAAATTGTCTGTTTTTTATTAGCTTGAAATAATAAATGTTTTTTATTTTATTTTTAAAGTATAAGTATTAATTTACAATGGGGCTCTTTTTCCTAATACCTATAATTTTTTCTTATACACCTATCAATTTAGTTGTTCAAAAATATCTGCACATTTTGTTATTTAAAATTAATCGTTTAAGCCCGTAACCCGTTTATAGTTCCCTACCTGCTATAGTGTTTAGTAAGTACCTTGGTATTCTGTACTTGGGTCAGTTGGCTCTTTGGTGATACGTGCAATATCAAGCCATTAGGATAAGTATTATCAAATAAGGTTCTATTGTGGTGGGTTACTAAAATCAAGTAGATAAGAAGGTTTTTCTGCGAACCGGATCAGAAAAAGATCATAGCACATTAACACCGACAAAGATTAATTTAAATGTTCTAATATTTATTGGAAAAATAGTAAATATTTTTAATAAAATAACTTATAGTTTCACGTATTATTTTTTATTTCACAATGTGTACAGTGATTGTTGTACAAATTGCAAATTGTATAATTTAACTTGTACAATCTAATCTAACTTTGTCTGTAACATATAAATAGATGTATATATATATATATAAGTATCTATCTAATAGTTTGTTACATATACATACAAATCATGTAAGTGTGTAAAAAACTTAAAATAAAATTTCAGATTCAACAACTCCAAAAATGACCATAAAATTCTCTAAAAAAGAATTAAAAACCAAAATATGTTAAGAACTGCAAAATAAACTTTCTGATTCTCATTCAAAAGTACCTATATGAAACAAATTTGTGACCATAAAATCATTGCACAAGCTTCAAAAAAAAAATGCAAAGCACACCATAATTCTAGCCCTAAAATGATAATTAAACAGTTTTAATGAAAGAATTTCATTACATATTTGAGTAGTCTAATATCTACATATTACAAATGATTTGGTATATTAGAAATTATAACAGTTATTACTCAGAAACTGTGGATCAGATATGACATCAAATTAATGCATATGTTCAATTTATTTTAGAACAATACTTTTTACAAAGTAGCTCTTTTTAGTGATTATAAGCTGAAAATAAAATTAAAACTTTAAAATATAATTAAAAAAAAAAAATACTAATGCGTTATCAAAAACAAATTTCCAAATAAAAATATGCAATCCATTTTATTAAGGATAATGTTATATATTATACAAGTTAATATTCATCATCAGTTATATCTGTAAACTCTCCATAAAATGCTGTGATTGAATTCAATCTGCCGTTGATAATATTCTGTTGAATTTCCACTTTTCCAAAGTTTATAGCTAACCATAAACACTGAAAAATAATTATAAGAAAATGGTTATAAGAAAAAAACCAAACTTAGAGATTTAAAAACTCACTTCGAATATATTAGTTGTTTTGGGTACATGGAATGCAATGTTTGATGCAATGCTTTTAGTAAGATTGAAAATATCATAACCACCACAATTAAAATTGTTACACATTAAAGCAATGCTAAAGCTTTCATTAATTGAATATTCTGGTCCACCCCAGGGTGGTGACATGAATACTACATCTGCTTTTAACTTAGAAGCCAAACTGAAAAAGTCACCAACAATAAATTCTATTTTCTCAGCAACACCATAGATTTCAGCATTATGTTTTGCAAATAATATTTTTGTTGGATCTATATCAATCGCTATAACTTAACACAATTAAAAATATATAATTTAAATTTATATATACTTTGTTTTTTTGTTATTTTTATTTTTATAAAATATTATACAAGTATACCTAAATCGCACATAAATGCTAATTGAATTATATTTCCACCAGCTCCACAGAAAGGATCTAAGACTACATGATTTTGACAACGCTTTGCTATATGGTAACTTAATACTTCTGGACATACAGAATAAAAGCTTTCTGTAAAAATATTTTAGTTGTTATAAAAATAATAAAATAGTTATCAATTGTATACCATCGTCCAATAGAATACCAAGATCAAATTTTGAAAATAACATATGTCTTTTTGACCAATATTTCAAATTTATCTTTTTCCTATTATGATTCAACAAATAACTGTTTTTTTCTTTTAATCTATCATGTTTCATAACCATTGAATTAAAATATTTCTAATAATAAAAAAAAAAACAAAACCATTAAATTAATTTTAACTAATTTACTTTGTACACAATGAATGCAAAATGTATGTAATAAAAAAACAACATTTTAAATTTTAATTACCAATTTATATAAAGAATAATTTTAAAACAAACAAAAAATACAAAATAAAATTGTACATACTCTATATTCATCAATGGACTTGTATTTATGATTAGGAGATGACATAGGAGTTGAGGTACACCATTTTCTTTCAGTATTATATTTGATTGAACCTGAACTATCAATTGAATTCTAAAATATAATAAATATTAATAAAAAAAACAAACACACAAATCACCAATTTATAAATAATTACCAAATAATCTAATAATATATTAAGTAACTGAAAAAATATAAATATAAGATAAATAAATGTGTATTACATTATTTATGGTCATTACCCATATTAATTATTACTAATTACCAGGGTTTTTGGGACTTACTTAATTATATAACACTGCTAAATGTAATGCCAAGACAAATTAGCGAATGCTATAAGTTCCAAATTCTGATTATTAATTACTATTACTTTTTAGATATGTGCTAGCTATAAGATGAAAAAAAACAACTCATTAGTTACCAAGTACCCAACAGTGGTGCAGAACCTATATTAAGGTCGAGACTTAGCCAGACACCTCTTAAAAATTAAGCATTGGGCCACTTCATTTTTGGCCAGTTTGATTGCCAAAAAAAATTAATAGAAATAAAAATCTATACTAACTATCCATTTAGACAAAAATGGGTATGTTTAATTATTGAGTCTTTTGAAATGTACTTCATCTGACTACATTTTTGGGACTTCAGCGCCACTAAGTACAAACTATGTATTTTAATTATATACAAAATATTTAATATAAATATTACTATATAGAGTATCAAATCTATTTTTGAATGAAAATGAATGAAAATACATTCAATGTTTTGCTCTAAATTAGATTAGGGGAACTTTTAAAAAAAAATTTAATTACGTTTCTAGTTTTATGTTTACATTCTAGCCTTTTTTTACATCTTGATCAGATCAGCTCATAAAGTTTATAACAGACATTTAATTATCATTAATTTATGCGAAATTGATGAACAAAAATGTTGTATTTCGATATATATTTATTACTTATTAGACTTCTAATATTAAAAACAATTGGAGTTCTTCAGACGTACAACATATCCAATAAGTTCTGATGCTCTTATTAAACAAACAAAAATAAAATTTATTTATGAACTACAAATTTTCTAGTAAGAAAAATATTGATTTCATTGTTTTAAATTAAAATTAGAGTAAGTAATTCTTTAAAAATAAATTTACAAACTTCAGTAGTGATTGAAGAGGCATTTCTATCTGGACTGTAACTAGTAATATTATGTTTATGAAACATCATATATGATGGTTGTGATTTGAATGTAAAAAATTTTGATACACCGTCAATGATCAAACCGATATCTTCAAGAACTGCATTCATTTTTTGTGATTCTGTTTCATATTGTCTGTAACAGAAATATAAAAAAAAATAAATAAATAAAATATATTACGTAGATATATAAAATAAGATGCAGACATACTTCGCATGAATGGGCCACTGTTATAGATGAGAAGTTAGGAAGGTAGGACATAGAGGGGAATTTTATTTTTATTTGTATGCAATGATTAATCTTTGCTCACGAAAAACTATTCTAAGCGGAGTTCAGTAATACATGTTTTGAAAGACGATTTTAAAATAACACCTTTTGTAAATTTTCCCTTTTTTCTTATGTTTTTTCTCATTTATTATGAAAACAATAAAGTAACAATAGGTAAAAATTACCACACAATCAGCTTTTCTTTCAGAAAAATTGCTATATTTGAAATAGAAGCAAAATTCCTGGTAGAAAAGTTGTCCACGGAAAAAAAAACAATAATATCATAAAACCAATTTGGTTCTCACTCTGCTCAAAATCTAAAATTCCATAAACAGATGAAGTTTTAGTTTCTTTGCTTCATCTATTTATGGTAATTTAATTCAAATGTTTTTCAGTTCAATATATTTTGAAAGTTAATATGATAGTATTAAATATATAATACTTACAAAATTTTCATAAATTTAATTCTCTAACCTTAAAATTAATCATAACAGAATTATTACTCACTTTTTAATATTTGCATCATGTTCAATAATTGTAGTGCTTAATATATGTTTACTCAGATGTATAATATCAATTTCATCATCACTGGAATTCCCATACTCATCACTAATATTATTGCTGTTTTCTATTATTGACAGAGGATTTGATGCATCAAATTGTCTATAATAACAAATAAAATAAATATTCAAAAGAGTCTCCTACAGATTAACAGCAGAGAATGAAATATTACTTATACCTAGCAGATCTGTTAATTGTTTTTTTTTATCCTAAATTATAGTGTTTTATAAATAAATAACAATAATACATAATAAGAACACAAGTTAAAATGCAATTGTAAAAACAAATTTTTCACTAAAAATTGTATACAGTAAAACCTCCTTTTAACGGACTCTTTATAATGTGGAAATCTCCTTAAAACAGAAAATCCTTAATAACGGACAAATCAGTTGGTACAGAGCAATTCCATTATAAAAGTTTTACTGTACTAACATTTAAGTATTTAAAAATAGAGCACTTAAACAATAATGAAACAAATATTGACAAAGAAAACCAAAAAAAAAAAAAAAATTAGTTAATATTTTAGTATTTTTAATTTTTAAATAAGAATAAATTTATTTTTCTGATGTTTTGACAACCGTGGAGAATTTAGGTGGATTGTATCTATGTAATACATATTTGAACACCTAACCTAATATACTACCTATTATAAGTTATTTATATAATTGCTAATAAATTCAAGATCTGTTTAATTTAGAGGTAACACATTCAAATATGAATAAATAAGTTAGAGGATTATTTTTATAACGTCAATAAATTGGGAAGATTTTGTCATATTTTCGTCACGTGTTGGACGTATTGTATATTGGGGGAAATTATGCAGGGGGACTTGAAGAACTTAGACCTTTCAAGTCATTCTCATAATTTCCGCCAATGCTATTGGTAAGTAAATACCTGTAATTGGCTGTGAAGCGGCTGCACAATACCGTTACGCCATTATGCTCGTTGCAGTTTTTGGGTTCGTAAAACACTTCGACCAGCTTTTCGGTGGACAACGAAAAATACGACAGGGCCATAATGATTTGCGGTGGCCAGAAGTGTTTCGCCTGATTCTATCGCAAACTGAAGAAACAAAAACGTAACAGTTTTTAACCGAGTTGGGTAAGTGCAACACTATAGAACCATACGCGTAATTGTTTTTTGTCTATGATCAACACACTATACAATCTACACGAACAACCCGTACAGCGTACACGACTGATTAAGCCAGTGATAAATATAACAATAACAGAAGATTATTAAATGTTATTATTGATTAAGTATTATTGTTATTATTATGTACCAAAATAGAATTCGCCGGTTTTGCGCGTTGGAAACTACGCGTATAAATCGGGAAATAATTCGCCAGAAAAATAGTGAAAGATTTTTCCTTGGATTATACAATTTTATAAACGGAAAATTACAAAATCAAATCGATATCGCAAGAGATATAATTTATAATTTAATGATAAATGTTTATCTAAAAATACCAATAACTTGGTAGGTAGGTACCTCATTTCCCGTACTTGATCAGTCACGCACTCATGCCAATTTCAAAAACATATTTAGTATTATCACAATAAGGAATTATTGAAAGAATTCATTTTACTAACCTAAAAACCTAAAACTATTCACTAAAAAAAAAAGTAGTTTAAAATTCAGTAATAAATTATCATTATTTTTGTAAATTTTAGACCTATGATAGGTCTAGACTCTAGAGGTACTAATGTATTAAGTATCATTGTAAGTTGAGGTTACCTCAACATGGTGGATTAATCCATCTTAGGTTATCTATTAAATCTAAGTTTTTATTATTTTATGCGTAATGTTCAATAATATTAGGTGTGCTATTAATGTTTTTTTTTACAATGCAGTTTGGCCCAGTGTGCAAAACTTAGTTTATTATTAAGCATTGGATTATCTACGATAAACCGTTGATGTTGTAATATTCAGAAGTGATTTACTTGTGAGCATTAAATACACTTCTTAGACATGGATTTTAAACGCTTATTATATATTTATTTGCTATACATTTCTAAACTTTTAATATCTGTATAATATACATCTAATCAATTAGTAAGTTAAGTAAGTGTGATCAGACTTGATTCTAGACTTAATCAATTCAAAAAGTCTGTTGTGAATTGTTTTTGATATTTTATTAAATAATTATACAATATTATAATTAAATAATAATTTAATAATATTGGTGATATTAATAAAAACGTTGACCTTTTTATTTTTAATTCTTTATCTTGGTTTTTAAAATTTGTCTTTTAACCGGGTTTGGTGTATTGTTAATTGTTATACATACATAAGCTTCTTATAAATTGAAACTATAGATAGAAAGCAGTTGTGCTTATTGAAAATTGGAAAAAGAAAAAAATTTCCAGTAAAAAAAATCGTTATACTCTGTTTTTAGAAGTACTATCAGTAGGCACTATTCATACTGTAGCCAGTGAAATATTAGAAATTAGGTAGGTACTATATTTTATAGTATAATCATGAATTCATGACATTTATTATTGTTCTTTAATTTAATGTTTTTTTGAATTTTTTAATATAAACATTTTATAATAGTTATTAATTAAATTATTTGTTTTTGCAATGAAATTGTTGATTCAGTAAATAGTGTGAATGCAACACTTATCGACCAATCTTAAGTGAAATGTGCAACCATTTAATAAGTACAATATTTTAATGAAACTTTAAAGCCAATTGATGGAGACGTATACATTTTACAACTACCTAGTTCTTCATACATTCTTGTGTAAGTATTTAAATCAATTTAAATGTTTCTATTTTTTTTATTTTAAAGGACCCATATTATGCATTATCATGTAAGATAGCATATTTTTGTGGTTTAGAATTTTAGACTACTTTGTAATGCTTATGGTGTAATATTAATTTCTGGTGTATAATATAAATATATATCTGTATCTGTATACTATTGGTACTATTATTGGTTTTAGCAATACAATTGTTGATTCAGTAAAAAGTGTGAATTTAACACTTATTGACAAATCATCAGTACAAAGTATATCCATTGAAGAAGTTCAAAAAGAAAATACTACTGCATATGTAGAATCTTAGGTTGATAAGAAAGTGGGCATTTTACAACCACACAGCTCTTCAGATAAGCCAGAGTAAGTAATTAAAAGAATAATTGTAATGAGCTTTTCTTATTATCAATAAGAAAATTAATATTTGCAAATTAACTGCTTTATTTTTAATTATATGGTTAAAATAAAATAATTAATTATCCAACATGTTTTTAGTGCTGATCCTGTTTTACGGATATTAAACGAGGTCACTAGAGATTCCATATGTAGAAATGGATTTCACCAGAACTTGGATGGTAATTTTTTATTCTGAAAGACAATACCAGTATATAGGTCAAGGAACATTCATACCTCACTATAGGTACCTAAGTAAAGATATATTTAAAACCACATTAATTTATGGTAAAACATGACATAGAATCTGTGGAATCTTAGAAAAACAATAGACAAGATTGCGATCATTATTGTGGAATTGCCCTCTAAGTTTTGCATATAAAATTTTCGCGAACTGTATCTTGTCAAGAATAAAAACAAAATCGGAACAAATTATTAGTGATTATCAAGGAGGATTAGGCCAGGAAGACCTATGGTAGACCAGGTATTTATTCTATGACAATTATTCCAAAAGTCCTAGGAATTGGACAAGGAAATACAAGTGCTCTTTATCGACTTCAAGAAGGCGCACGACAGTATAACATCGCAAAAGCTCAATAAACATTCTTAAAGAGTATAACTTTCCACAAAAATTATTAAAGTTAATCGAAACATGTATTATGGAAACGTTTTTTTAAAATAAGAGTAGGATAATATAAAAGCGGAAACCGACCCAATAATTGTGAATTCAGGCTTAAGACAGGGGAACTCTATGTCACCTGTTCTCTTTAACCTGGTATTAGAAAGTCATAAGGGAAACTAATATTGGTTATAATATAAGTAACAAGTCTAAAACAATAAGTTTTATAGGAAGAATATTTCAATCTCAAAAACTAATTTTTTGGATACTCTAATGGTTTTGGAATTTCATCAATAAATGTTGATGTATACTACTTTTGTAATCATTTAAGATCAATAGAAAATCTAAAATGCCAGTTTTCTGAACTTACTGGGCTAGAACATTGTAAACTACTTATTGTTGATACTGAGACAGCAATATCTGTAAAAAAAAAAAAATTATATTTAACATCAACCTAATAATATGGTAAAAGACTTGCTATTTTCAGTAGTCGGATCTATTAATTTTGTACCAATATAAGTGTGACTGCCATATGTCAACTTTCTTTTACTCACAGGATCACTATTGAAGATACTAGGTACCGACGTTTCTTTCAATAACTTCCTGAAGTATCCTTGGTAAAAAGTCGTTGTTTGTGAAGTGTTTACTACAAATTTTGCTATAACGAGTAGGAACAAAGTTTTGTTTTTTAATAGCTTTAACCCACATTTGTTTTTTCATCTAATCAGAAGGAAAGGTTAGATCCTCCTGAAAAGTTTGTTCAAATCATTTTAAACATAAGGATGCTATAAAAATTTGGGAATCAGGACGAGGTACCAGAAAGTATACAGTAAGTAAATAACAATAGTAGTACAGCAATTTGTACTGTTACAAATAAAAATTATTTTTTTTATATTTGTAGACGTTGTACATTATACAATATATATATATATAAATATATTCATTCTTTTATAGTTAAATATATATTATAACAATTATAAAATGTATAACAACAATCTTAGATATGTTTAAAAAAAAAAACAAGACTCAACGAAAGAGCAGTTCCTGAAAATACAATTTTTTGTAAAAATAATTCATTCTCAAATGGGTCATTTGAAAATTAGATACATAAAAAAAAATATGTACATTTACTGAAAAAATGTGTTATAAATGCAATAGAAGCCGGTACCTGCATTTTGATTTTATCGTAAATAAAATAAATTACCTTTTCACGATAAACCAAGCAGTCGTCAATGTCAATAGATAGGTATTGTATTGTATGAATAGACGTCGTCGTGTTCAGTGTTGTCTGTGTTTATATTCTCTGTACAAATTTTTATTTTTTCGTTTGTATACAATGAACAAACGACATGATTTGAGTGTGGAAGAAAAATTATGCGTTTTTAAAAAGTATGACGAGCTTCCGCAAATGAGTCAGTGGTAAGCTACATGTAAGTTAAACGTCTCAAAGTTTACTGGGTAGGATGCAGAAATTCAACAGGAAATCGAAAACGTATCATTAGCAAATTCAAATCGTAAAAGAAAAATGGTCGATAAAGAAGAAGTTGAAGACGCATTGAAATAATGGTTCACAAAAGTCACATAAAAAGATGCCAGAGTTACAGGACCATTGTTGCGCCAAAAAACCGAGGATCTCGTGAAAAAAAATGATTTAGTGGCAACAGAAGGTTGGTTTTACCGATGAAAGAAACGCGAAAACATTTCGTTCGTTAAGCCACGTGAAGAACAGGGAGAAGTAGACCATACAGCTGCACGATCATGGATTCATTCAGATTGTTCATCTCTTATCATTAAATATCCTCTGTCTTGTGTGTTCAATGCGGATGAAATTGGACTTTATTTCAAGGCATTTGCCCGTTTATGTAAAAAATGTCATGGTTTACGTACAAAGGCAATTTACTGTTTTGTTTCAAGCATATGTAATTAAATCCTATAATATTTGAACACATTAAATATACAATTTAATTATGTACCTATTGGAATATATTATGTAAGTAGCTATCGCATAAAACAAAGATACTACGTAAAATAAAAAGTTAGCCAACTTTGCCACTGCAAATTGATATCCTTAAACATCCGCCACTACGCCTTAAGTCTAGAGCTCCCATATGGCATGCAGAACCTCAAAGCGAATCTATTAAGTGCCTATGAGCGAGACGCTGGAAACCGTCAGAAACCTTTAATTGAGACCTGATTAAGGAACTATTTATAAAAATCCCTGGCTGGGATAGCACAAGGGCCACATGGACAACGCTTAACCAAATTAGAACGGGACAAGGATGATGCAATTACCTACTCCACTGAGTCGTGTCCCATTACAATTTTCAAAGAAGGATTAACAAAACTAAATGAGGGCGGGCCAACAGCTATAAAATGGCTTGAAGAACTTAAAACGCGTCTGTGATTTCTATTTGTTATTATAATTTATTATACCTACTATAACCTACCTACATACATTTTATTACCTGTTTAATTAGTTGACTAGCTATCTTAATTATCACATTTATTTATTTGTGTAATTTTTACCAACTTAATTTATCTAAAAATAAGTCGAACATGTCAAACGCAAATAATAATAATAATAATATGTAAGTAGCTACTTGAAAGTGTTTATTTTATCATCGTTATCATTACAGTCGTTATTATAGATTGGCATGGCGAATTCATTAAATTTAAATATTGATCTGAAATAACTGATAAACATTTAAGTGAACTTTTGCGAACTGCGCTTACAAATTATCAGCCAGATTTCAAAAAATTCAGAATAAATGAACACTCGAAAAAGCACTTCTCATAGGTAAAACAAAACCGTGCAGTGTTCACAGACGATCGCGCTCATTCAATCATCAAAAAAATTAAACAACGTATTTCGAATTTACAATTTGTATAGATATCAGTCACATATTTAGTTAATAATTGCTTAGGTATTTTAAAATGAAATACGATTTCTGTGCCCCAATGATAAACCAGCCTGTGTATTCACAAACACGAACGCTCGAGTCCAAAATCTGGTACATGTCAATCTTCGTTAGAAATAGTAAAATCTTGGAGGAAATAATTAAGCATTAAAATGTGCCATAACCTCAAATAGCATGACCACATTAAACAAAGTTAAAACTAAGAAAAATAATTTTTGTTTTCAAAAATTTAACTAATTTACTCGAAATTAAAAAAATTAGAATTGTATACTAAACTCTAGTAAAATCCATAGTTGACTATGGTATTATTGTTTGGGCAGGTGCCTATGATACAACACTAAATCCATTAAAAATAATCATTTGTATTACACAGAATCTACACAAAGAATTAATGTTCTACCATTAAAAAAATTGTTATATAAGGTCAGCAGTAATTTTTTACAATTAAAAATAACTTCACACCTAGTATTGATCAAGGATACAACACAAGACAATTATCAAACATTACTGTTCCTTTAATGCACAGAAAATTAACCCAATCTACTTACTTATATATATATTATATGCTACTAGACTTCAAAACAACTCTATTGTTTAATACTTAAAAAAAACAAATTGGCTGTAAAATGAACCAAATTTAAAACTTTAAATATTTGTATATCTTTAGGCTAGTTGCTTCCTTTTGTATATTATCAAACCATATTATACATTAAGTCTCCATATATTAATTATTGTTATTTACATTATTTAAGTTTAAGTTAGTTGCATAAGTCTAAAATTGTAAAAAAAAAAAAAAAATTAAAATCATTATCTGAATGTTATATTTTTCTTATTACAAGTTGTGAATTTGTGGACCCTTACACGAACCTGTTCAGTGGGGTCCATTATCTTTTTGAATTAATTAACAATATTAATAATCATAATACTTTAAAACATCCCAGAAAACAGTATTACACTTAGAAACGTATATTAAAAAAGTTAATTTAATTGTCTAATTTTTAAAACCGAACATATGGTTACAATGCCTCATGAGCATCTAGCTAAACACCATCCCAAGTAGAAGTGACTAAAGTAATTGCTAAAATAAAAATCAAAACTGCTCATTCGAGTGTGAATCCATCTCAGATTTATGCCCAAGAAATATCTGAAATTGATAATAACATTAGAGCCAGAATGTTACTTTAGGGAACAGTTTACTATAAGGAACTTACGTGCAATCAAAAATCCATTGGATCCAAAAACAATAAAAGAATGTGAATTTCTAGGTAAGTGAAGTACAACTGGCCACTCTCACTATAGGCAAATACTTCTACTATCTGTCAATGAAACTGAAGGCATCTGAACGAGTCATTATGTTTGTTACTGAGAAAGGTTTAAAACATTTAGCAGGTACTTTAAGGTGGTAATTTTTCACTTTCTCAAAGACAATTCCAACAACTCTATGTAATACAGGTAGAAGAGTCAATAGCATTTGTAAGATTACCGTGTACTGTTTTCTACAAAATAAAACGACGTCGACAACACATGAATATATGCTAACAAGTATAGTTTTGTGGAAAAATGGACTGTGCACTTTTACCAGTTGAAGATGTAAAGGAAGGTATGGCATATTTACATAAAATTGTATCTCCTCTGATGTTGAACAATTACTAGATTAAACTTATTGTCAACAGCACATAAAGCCGAATCCAGTGTAACAACGATTGTGGTGCAGTTTTTCAAAATAATCCACCTTCATTCCTGTTAGAATTATAGAATGTCCATGCTACAACAATTGTTGAGCACAAAGCTTGAACTATTTATTGTTCATTTTTTTTTTCAATTAAAAAATTTTAGCATTTTAAATTTCATAACATACACATTGTTAACACAGCAAACAGACTGATAATTATATTTATTTATATGATTATAATATTTTGGTTTTTTTTTTCCGTATACCGTATACCAAATATCAAGCAGTAGTGCAGTACACCGTTACGGAATTGTGGTCGTACCTATTACACATTTGTATTTTTCTTTTTTGTCATTGCAAACATTATATTAGGTAGGTACGCCGTTTTTCAGCACCATTCCGTATAATATACTGACCGGGACAGGGGACCCGTACGTTGGCGGGCTACGACGCGCGGCAAACGTATCGAAAGATACGGAAATATTATCGCCGCGACGGGCAATACGAAGGAAAAATAACATAAAATACGTGCACCGGCCTGAATACTTTTTCCCGGCTATTCGGTTTACACATAGAACAGTCACGGAAAAGTATCGAATGATGACACGCACGAATATAAAATTGTATATGTACATCACGAACAACCTCGCGCGCCGGTTTCGCAGGACCGCTTTAGGGTCATCGACCGGGGGAGGGCCCGGGCTTCGTTCGTTGACGGGCCACGGGCAATTACGCGGGACAAATTGCAGGTTCGTCAGTTTTCAGCACCACTTCGTAGATTGTACTGGCCGAAGCAGGAGCCGGGCCGCGTAAACTTTACGCCAGCAAAATATCCCGGCGACGCGCGCATCGAAAGACACGGAAATAAAATAGCCGCGGCCGGCGTAAATACTATCCGGCAATTCGGTTAAATTTTCCAATCGCTATTATCCGTTACGGATAGGTGACGAATGACGATACGTACGAACATAGTATCGTATAAGTACATCACAAGCAACCTCGCGCCGGTTTCGCAGGACCTCGTTGGGACCGTAGACCGGGGTGAGGGGCCGGGCTCCGTTCGTTGACGGGCCACGGACAATTAAGCGGAAAAATTGCACAGACAAAATGTCGGGTGGCGTGCGCATCGAAAGATACGGAAACATAATCGTCGACGGGGGGGTCGCACAATTGCCGTCGAAAAAACGGAAAACACCACGAGCGCACCGGCCGGGACGAGTAGATACCTCGGACCTCGACAAGCCGAGACGCGTGCATAGTACTTACTCGGTTCGGTGAGCCAGCGACCAAACGACGAAATCACCGCCGGGACGCCGTCCGTACGCGTTATTACCGACACGGAAACAATTGATATTGCACAAAAATGCCAACTGCGAGGAAAAATACGACCGGAACGGACCAACGCGAAAGTTCAGCGTCCGACGGTTCCGGGCAAATGAAATGGCGTCCGCCGGGAAGGCACGCCACCGCGGTGAGCATAGACGCCCGCCAATCAGCACCACCGACGACTACGCACGGTGTGACCGCGGGCGCGGACCGGAGGGAAAACTGGTACCGGCTGCGGTCAAAATGCGTTGTTGTCGTCACCGAAATAATAACAAACGCGTGTTTGTGGCAAATGGCGACGGCAGACGCCGCTCACCGACCGAAAGTAATTGTCGCCATCCCTCTTCCGCCCCGCACCCGACTCATGCAACGACGACGACAACGCCGCCGCCCGGAATAACCCACGCCATCGTTTTCATATTATCGAATTGAAATCCGCGAAGTCGACTTTGTCCCCGTGTCACGCTTGTGTACGTCTACGCGTCTGCTTGGTGCCATCTATAAATATGATTATGAAATGTAATTTACATTTTATTCAAATGCATTGTCATTATTAAGTGTTCATTACATTTTACAACACCGAAGAGGGTAGTAGAAGTATGTATTGCTAGACCGAAGTCCTGAACAGATCGAAGTAGATCGGCCACCAAAAACCGGTGGTCACGGATGAGTGGAGCAATCGGGAATTATTTACGTTTACGCATTTTTGGGTTCTTGGGAGAAAAATGATTGTATTATAATTATATAAAGTGTACGATGAACACGTATTCAAAATTACAAGTAAATGTCACATCATAGTAAAATCAACTTGCTAGTCGCTATGCTCCGAATATAATACTTACGAAATAGGTACTAATGCAGACTGCAAAGAAAGTTTAAGTAGGTTACTATATAATTTTCCACGGCCGTTACTCATTTTGTAACTCTAATATGTATGTAAACTATAATATGCATTTTCGTCTTTTCCTCGTGCGTTTATACGAGGATTGTCTTTACAGAAATGGAACTTATGTCATGTATAATTCAACGGAACAATTTTTATTTCGCATTTTTTGGTAATTTTTGGTTTTACGGTAATTTTGTAGTAATTTTGGAGCGTTCTTTGCGTTTTTGTAGATATATTTGCGTTTTTTAAATTTTTCTCATATATTCTTCTGACAAAACTAAATATTTGAAAAAACCAACGTATTGTACAGCATATTGTATTACTGACATTATTTCTTATCTCCGTTTTAAATTTAATTTAGGCTCTGTAGTCTGTATGTACACACGTGCATTACACACGTGTATATTATATCTAATATATACCATAGAGTAGTGGTTCGAAACATTTTTCTCTTTCGTAGCCCTAAGCTTAATATTTTGTTAGATTCATGGTTCTCATTATAACTTTTAAACATAATTACTCTTAATTGATTAGACGCTGATATAAATTGAGTTTTACCCGGATGTACGTGTGTGCGATAAATGATGGTAACATTGTTATTACTGGTAGTGTAAGTATACGCTTAAACCGGACAAATAATGAACCACCTACCTAACCTCATAAAAAAATATGTTCAGATTCAAAAATTGCAACGGGAACATGCTCCCAATGCTCGGTATTTACCCAATGATAGAAACGTTACAAGTAAACATCAAGATTTCATTGAAAAATATCCTAGCTAAAGTATTTCATGATAAATGTTCTTAGAAGTTAATAATAATAAAATATGATAAAATAATTCGTGTCATCGGCGGGTGGCGGAAATTTTTATCAGTTGTCTACGACGTAATGAGGCCGACGGCCAACCATAGTACCGTACGGATGTTCGGATGTTAACGCCCGAGTGAAACTGTTGCCCTTGGCACCGAGGTCACGGTTCATTCTTGTGATATAGATAAATATAAATAAATATAAACGCATAAAAAAAAAAAAAAAAAATCTTTTGGTATTTTGGAAATCGGATATTATTGAAAATATCTCGATACACTTTAGTAGGTGGGTATCGATCGAACGGTACACGCGGCGTTACGTGTGCACGAGCAACCGCCGACCAGCATCCAGGACCGCGGAGTTGCGCGAGCTCGCTCGCCGACGAGCCGCGGGCAATTACGCGAAATCGTTATTCGTTACATGAAACGCACGATAATATCCGGTATTACAGGACGGTTGAGATGTTTCGACAACGATTTCCGTACCGTCTCGAAACATTCACGTCGACATAGCCGGGGCCGCGCACGCCGCCGACGGTCGCGCGAAAAAACGCGCGCGCGGTCGCCGGGGCACGAGGAACACAAAACGCGCCCGCGTACCTCGCCAATAAAAAGAAATGACGTTTTTAAAACCGACATTATATTACCGTCACTGTCCCGCTCGCTCACTCACTCTCTCTCTCTCTCGTACCGGCCGACACGACACGTCGACGTGGCCGCGGGCGATGAAAACGAAAAGGTCGACGAAACGACGGCAACGGCAAATGTCGCCCGTTCTCGTTTTTTTCCGCAGAGTAGTACGGACTGCGTCGCGCGAAAGGCCGAGGCGCGGGACGGTTGTCGGTCAATTTTTCACCGATACCAATCCACGTTTTTGTAGATTATTGTATTGCGTGTGTTCATAGACCGTTATTGATACGTAACACTACAAAAAACCGTTCGTAACGATATGGCCTTGAAAATGTTGATAGATATTAAAGAAATGGATAGGCCACTCCTATAACGATAATCCGTGTGTTTTTAAATTCAGCAGATTGGTCAACCGATAGATTCAACTGTTCCTAGTCTCAGCTGCTGATCGATTCGGTGGAGGGCAAGTGATCAATCGGATTGCTTCACCAGCAATCTGATATTTTGTGGATGGAGTAGTGTTTAATCCTTAGATCTTAAACTGCATATTAACCAGATGGATTTGATGAACACTTTACGAGCTAAAATTAAAACTAAAAAAAAATATGTTGTGTTCAAATTTGTTGTCTAATATGCTAACGTGTTTCCAAATTCCAATTCTAACACTCGACATGTACAATACAATTGACATACTTTTATAAAACATTTAGATGCTGACTCCATTTGTATATCCTAAATTATATTTTAATGTAACTTTTAATCATAGATACTAATTATATACATATATGATTATATTATCTATGAATATTTTCAATGAGACAGGTACTGATAAGAACCGTTTATTTTATTTGTGTGATATGAAACTTTTCTTTTACTGTTTGGTCCTATCATTTCTTTATTATCTATGGTTACACGTTAACCGTTATTATCAGTTGACGATTATGAGATAAGGTAAATCCACAGAGTTATAAATCGTAGGATAATCACAGTTATTCAATAATCAGTAGTAAAATATCGAACGATTCCAAATATGTGTTAGTTGCGAACTGTGATTCTATTATTATTATTATTATTGTCTGTAATGTCTCTAGATCTTAAGTTGTTTTATTGTTTTAGATAAGTAATTTTATAATTAATTATAAATATAAATTAAGAAAGCAAAAAATGATATTAATACTATAGCAGGTAAGATAATTTATATGTTTATACATAATTATTATTCAATTTTTGACATTGATTACATTGCAAGTGATGTTCACTATTCAATTTTGATCTCCATTCTACCGATTATAGACATATTTAAAATCATTAATTAACTAAACTTCGCTAGTTTCCCTCAATAGGATTTTTTCAGATTAGTTTTGCAGACAAGCAATTAGTTAATTATAAAATTATTATTATTTTATAAAAATGTAAAAAAAAAAAATATCATTTATAGTTAAAATATATTTTGTTTTGAGAATGATTTAATTGTCTGGTTCATACTGATTTACTATAAGTCGCTTTTATCCCAAATATTCATCAACCCTTGCCTCTAACTTCCATTTGATCTGATCTCCCAATTTTGTATTCACTGGTTGTCCTTATATGTATCATTCTCAATCGCATCCAACTATCTGTTTTTCGGTCTTTTTCTTATAGTCTTTTCTGTTACATTTATTTTCATTACAATTCTTACTGTTCCGATTTTTCTTTCCTCACGACATACTCAATCTTAATCTATTTTTTCTCATTTTATCTACATTTTTTGAACTTATTCCTATTCTTCTCATCACTCCATCCATTCACCTGATCATTCTATTGGCTGCTACACTCAATCTTTGTTTTATGATTACCGCTCCACACCCCAAACCATCCAATATAGTTGGTTTCATCAAACTTCTGTAGAACTTGCCTTGAAGTCTCATTGAAATTTTCTTGTTACATAAAATATTTATCTTATATACATTGTTTCTTTTGTAAAAAAAGATTCTAGGTATCCTCTTAAAACTCTACCTCGTCTAGTATGTCATCACTTATTGCCATTAATTATCTTGTCCTGTTCCTCCAAACTCATACTCTATATGCTCTGTTTTACTTCTACTGATTCTTTATCTTGTTTCTTTAAATTCTACACTTTATTTTTTAAATCTATTGCTAGAAGTTAGCGAACTTCTAGATTTTTTTCAAACAATTTATATTGTATGTAAACATCATGTATCATTGTCATCATAGTACCTTGTCTTATCTGTTATCCTTACTCACGTTTGAGATAGGACAATCCGCAAAAGATTTTCTTATAA